AAGAAAATATATATATATATATATATATATATATGTGTGTGTGTGTGTGTGTGTGTGTGTGTGTGTGTGTGTGTGTGTGTGTGTGTGTGTGTGTGTGTGTGTGTGTGTGTGTGTGTGTGTGTGTGTGTGTGTGTGTGTGTGTGTGTGTGTGTGTGTGTGTGTGTGTGTGTGTGTGTGTGTGTGTGTGTGTGTGTGTGTGTGTGTGTGTGTGTGTGTGTGTGTGTGTGTGTGTGTGTGTGTGTGTGTGTGTGTGTGTGTGTGTGTGTGTGTGTGTGTGTGTGTTGGACCACATGCAAAAGGACTTAAGGGGAGCTTATTTTAGATACTCGGGTTAGCCAATTTGGCTAACCCTAGGTTAACCCTTTGGTTGGGCTTGTTGGGGTTGATACATGGGGTCCCTAATCACCTAAAGCATGCAAAGGTTCTATTTAATTTTATAAGGATTTGAATTTGGCTAAATTAAAATCATTTTTGGTTCACTTGGGTAAACCTAGTGGACCTATGGATGGGCTAGCTTGGGCGCGCAGAGCCTTAGGCACCCAGTGAGCAGTCTCAATGGGTTTAGATCGAGGCCTTGGGTTAACCTATATCACTTACGTTAAGGAGATGACTCATATGGCAAGCTTGGTCAACCAAAATTGACCAAACCTTTACATTGGGTCATCCAATGTGTTCTAATTAACATTTGAAACTTATTAGAAGTAATTGTAGGTCAATCTATATATATTCTCCTTGCATTTTTTTTTATGGTCTCCTTGCATTAAATTGCATTCAATATTCATTTAGGTCAACTTTTGTTTTAATGTGGGCTTAGTCAACCATGGTCCATCAAGGGCTTATTTAGGTGTAGGCATGCATGGTTTAATGTTTAAGAGGTTTAGGAGGTTGAATGGTTTACCTAAGTTTATATGCACGATTGAATGGTTTAGGTCAACTGGGTCTTTAATTTTATGGTCAAAGTGAGCAGTCATGGTCAACCAAGCCCATCCAAGGGTCCACTTGAGTTTTAAAAATAATTAAGGATGATTGTATGATGTATAGGGGTCAAGCCTAGGACTTGTATTTAAGTTTACAAATGCTTCATGCATATGATTAGGGTTTTATGGTTTAAGGGTCTCTTTGGTCAAACTAGGTCAACCATGGACCCAAATGGCCGTTCAAATCATTGCAATGATAATTATAAATATGTTTGTATGAGTACTTTTAAAGGCTCCTAAGGTGTTTAGACCAATATGCAATATTGAGTGGCATGAATGATAAATATTTGATGGTTTTGGAATCATGGTGGAGGCCTTAGGTTTTAGTGTTTGGAAGGACATGGAGGTTTCCAAAATTACTAGGAAAACTATTAGGATATGTCTAATAAATATATGAATGATTAAACAAAAATCTAGAAGTTTTACCTAGTGTTTTAATTCAATTGAAAATTTTCTTAGAAAAGGGAAAACCCAAATGCTTTAGGGTTTGAGTTTGAACTGGACTTTGAACAGTGGTTTTTAAACTTGAATGTGATTGAATGATTGAACCTGATTGAAAGATTTAGGATGATTAAAATATTTAATTGAACTTGATTGAAGGTTTATATGATTAAAAACTATGGATGAACATAGTGATTTAATTGAATTTATTGGATTTAATAGAATTCATAGAATTGAACATCATGATTGAAATATGTTGAGAATTAAACATTGAACTTTAAATGATTGACCTCATACAAAAATGAGTTCAATACCTTCTTGCATCTCTTGAGTCTCAAAATCATTAACTTTTCCCTATATCAAACCAAGATCAAACCCTTGTCCTAAATTAGCATATAACATTGTACATGTATTTTTTGTAGCCTGTATTTTCACTTTTCTTTGTATAGTGTTTCCCATAGCTTAGGGTTTTAACCTTTTCTCTAGATCTTTTGGGCCTCTCGAGTCCCATCACCTGTATTTTCTTATTGAGTTGATAGAGATTCTACTAGCTTACTCTCGTTCTATATATACTCTCTCTATACTCCATTCTCACTAACATGTTCTCATCCCAACAAATAAATCTGCTAGTAAGGTCATGAGGTATCATCCACCATAAAAATCTAGATTCAACAATATGATCACCATCAATACTACTAAACTAACTTGTATATATTCTTTCCTAATAAAACAGTTTTAAGCCAAATTCTAATGGAGTGATTTCCTAAGGGGCATATTAGTGGAAGTATATCATTGTTGCAGACATGTAATTAATTATCGTGATTATTCAATTTCTATTTCAACGCGCCATATATATTTTTTGAATTTTATACTGATACTTAACGTGTTCTCTCAATAACTTCATGACTGGATCAAACGATTCTTTCTTAAATTTATAATAAATAGCTGAATCAGTCCATTAAGGAAATAAATCTTCTAACATTCAATTGCTAATTTTTTATGCAACAAGCAAATAATTAAAACATAAATCTTAGCATTATTTGATAAGCAAAAGCCAGCCTTAGCGCTGTTTCGTGCAAGTGATTATAGCTTTGTTGAGCTTTCTAAACACTTTTTTATACTAAAAATTTACTTTTAAAAACAGTTAAAAAAGCAAGCCCAAACAAAGCCTATAATTGATCGATTCAAAACCAGTGGACAAAATTCTTCCTTAACTTGCAAGTCAGATTTGGATCGGTTCTTCAATGAAAAAGCAAATGACAAATTTACAACGAAATTCGTAAATAAAGAAGTCATGACAATAAGAAGAAGACGATGGAATTGAAAAGATTCAAGTAGCAGATAGAGGAAATCCAATCCCATGTCTTGTGGTCGGAAAAGCAACGAAGAAGCCGCTCCCCACCACCCCCATCGCCACCGGCAAACTCGCAATCAACTGCTCCATCTCCTCCGACAAAACCGGATAAAAACAAGATACAACATTTCTATCAAGCAAAGCCACCGCTGCAAACACCAACACCGACATGAAGCCATGCACGAAGTCAATAAACTTAATCTTGTACTGCTCCGCCTCATCAACCGGCAGCTGCGCAGTGCCATCAATGACCCACATGCCTTTGAAGGTTGCAAAGCCATATCGAACAATGCCGCCGGCGTCGCGGAAGCTGTCGGTGAAGGAAAGGATGAAGCAGGAGAGGGCGCATAGGAAGACGAGGCAGGAGGTCATGATGCGGTTGATGGGGAAGCAGTCGCCGGCGTTTGTGAAGAGAGGGGCGAGAACTTGGAAGGTGAGAAGAGTGCCGGTGGGGAGGAGCTTGGCAAGGTTGGCTGTGCTTTGAAAGGTTTGGGATATGGCTTTTTGCGCCGGGGATAGTTCATCGTCCGGCGGGTTCACGGTGCTATGGCGGCGACAAAGGGGCTGTTTTTCCGGTAGGAGGGGTTGCTGGGATTCTGCGTCTTTGGTGCTACTCGCCATGTTTGTCTGATTCTCTCTTACTTTGGTTGGTTTATAACAAGTAGTTTGAGTATGGAGACATGGGAGGGAAGTGGAGAGGAGAGGAGACTTTAAATCTTTAATGGGTCCGCGTGGAAGGAAAGAATGGGATGAATGTATTACTTGCAAGGAAAAATAAGAAGGCTGTGCGGTTTTCTGATGTGTAGAAGAGACAGTTTGCCACACAGGGAAATATTTATTATTTGTTAGGGTGGAATAGCCGTAAGAGATGGGGATGCCCTCAAAATTATAATTTTATTTAATTAAAAAGATTAATTACATAATCTTACCCTCTCAAAGAATATTTTATCTGCATTTAGAAAATAATAATAATAATAATTCATCCCAAGAAACACACGAAAGTGGAGACATAAAGTTACTTTGAGACGAGCACCTGTTGTGACTTTCGATCCGATAGGTAGGGATGTCAATATTTGACATGACCCGAAAATTCGACTTGAATCCGATCAAAAAAAATTCGGGTTCGAGTCAACTCAAACCCAAAATTGGTCGGGTTTGGGTTCAACATTTCGACCCGTTTCAAAAATTGGGTTTGGTTCGGGTTAACCCTTTGACCCGAAATTGACCCATTTTTTATCAAAAAATTAGCATTTTTTTATTGGAAACGGGTCATTTGGATCATGTCGGGTTGACCCGGACCAAAAACAGGTTGAATTCAGGTCCGAAAAACCAACCCGTTTTTAAAAAATGGGTCGGGTTCGGGTTGACCCCAAAAAGTGTCGGGTCAGTTTGGGGTTCGATCCGAACCCAACCCATGATCCGAAATTAACACCCCTACCGATAGGAACAACATCGTGGAAGGAAGGAGGCGAAGAAGCATTGATTGCATATGTGCAATGATTTACTCAAATGATTGCATCAAATTAAGAAATTAAGTAAATGAATCTTGAACAATATTTTGAATTAATGGAAGATTTAGCCATTAAAATCGATCAAATAATTGAAATGTTAAGATTCTGCCGTTATAATTGATAACAAGGTGGTCGTCAGTATAAAGAAATTAAATATCAGGATTAATCAAGATAATGGGTATTAATCAAATCTAATTAATTAAAAATGATTTTAGATCATCCAAAATATTGTGGCTGATATATAAATTAAATATGATAGCATGATTGTGAATATCTATATATATATATATAGAATAAGATTGAAGTTGTGACTTGGAGGATTAAAATTTTCATTCTAAATATGTTAAATATTTGAGGATTATAAAACTACAATCTACTTTGAACTAACTATACAAAATTCTATGTTGAAGAAATTATAAAATTATAAATTCCAAATGATCATTAGATAGACAAAAATGAAATATTGAGGAATATGTTTTGGTGTAGATAATAATTATATATAAATGAAATAGAATAAGATGGAAGACAAAAATATTTGAGGATTATAATATTTAGAAATCATAAGATTTCACAGATAAATATAAATTACCTCTCACTTGATGTCAAAATAATTAAATTAATAACTATAAATAAAATGAGTGTATGGATTCAAAAGGATCTGAGCTTTACTAACTAGTTTTTTTTTTAACTATTTGTCAACATTTGGGACTAGCGTAATTAATTAGATGGCCAACTAAGTTAGTCAAACCATAGCCTAACTTATGTTCACCCATAAATGTAGATGAGCGCAACTAGATTAAGTTATGTTTACAATAGGGTTGGAATCAACTTAGGGAATGCTAGAACTTAAGTGCACACGAATAATGTCCCGAGTGAGTCATATGACTAATTGAATGAAACCCATATAGAGATGAGATTTCGAACCTGCCATTTTTTTTTTTAAGAAACTTATGTTGGGTATAGAACCTATTGAGATCCTTTCCTGCATGTTGTCTAGTGTTGAGGTATCCCCTACCACATGTCTGCCAAAATCTACCTCTTAGTGGTGGGATAAAAGAACATCTAATGAGCTACCACATAATAGCAATCATTAAAAAAGAGCCTCTATGGCTCTGCAACTTATTTAGGCTATTAGGAAGCATCGTTAGTGTTTAAGGCAAGTTGGATGAGTGTTTAGTGAAAAACTAATCACTAATGATTCAATACCTCAAACCTTATTTAAATTGAGCAAATCCCAAGCTTAAAGGGTTAAAATTCCATTTTGTATTGCGACTAAGAAGTGTGTAGATGAGTTATTCCTTCAATTAAGTGGGGTCAAAAGACAACATTCGCATACAAGATTTCCCTCAATGTGTGGGCTTCAAAATTGTCCATGTTATTTAGGGATGGTCCTCCCTTGTGACTCTTTTGGAGTGTAATGATCAGATGATGAGTATTTCTCATGGGCATAAACCTCCGTGATTAATTATATTTTAAATATGATGATAATGATACACTTGCTTCCCATATACGTATCTAGAAACTTATTAGACCTAGCTTCGCCTATGGTGCACTTATCCTACTTGGGTTAGCTCACCTATTAAGTCAACTTGGATATTAGACATTATATACCTAGCTTTCTTAACTCACTAAAACCATCTTTATTCCTTTGTTCCAACAATTCAACAATATCAAAGTAAACATGTTCTACGCCTCCATGCTCTTTACCTCTATACGTTTTGACTACGACTATTGCATGCTTACATATTTGTCTTTTATCTACACCCAAAATTATACATCTAAAAAGAACCATGTATAAGTTGTAATCGATCATGTATCTAAAGCCCCACTAGCATCTTTCCCTTTCCTATAATATATCAACTGATGAGGTAAACACTCAATGGAATAAACAATTTTAAACATAATTTAACATACAAGAGCAAGAAACAATCAATATGCATGCTAGTCTTTTAAATAAGTGCAGAAGTTAAAAGCGGAACCCTATTATCCTTTAGTTTTAAAAGAGAGAAGCTTTAAAAGAAAAGTTTATAAGCAGTACACATGTAAGTCTGAAGGAATAAATAAACTAAATCTCATTTTAGTAAATGATCAATGCATAATAGTGCGCAATTACTACATAAAATTTTATAAGTTTTACTCATTTAATTCTTATTTCATTCACTCTTCTTGAGTAAGAATGTGTTATGATAAATCAGACTATCAAAGTAGCATGATGAATATAAATGGAGTAAAAAATTATCATAAATATGAGGTAAATCTTCTATATAATAGATAATATAAATATGCAATTTTTATAAAAATAGATAATATCAATATCATAAATATGAGATATCACTCTTCTTTGCTCCCAGGCTCCCAGCCCGTCGCTTCAGCCTTCTTCTGGAGTAATTATTGTGTTCAGACAACGAATGCATCCAGAGATTAATAACAAAGCGCCACATCACTCAAGCGCTCGGTACCGCACTCGGTACACTCGGTATTTTATCCGGACGTAATAATTTTTCCTTCTTCTGCTCGGGTTATATCTATTTGAAAATAAAATTTAATTAATTTTTCTAAGTCCACGGCCTCAAATAATGTACTGAACATTTATTAGTATAGGAAAATTAAAAATATTAAATTTTAAAAAATAATTATATGCATAAATTAATTTGTGTTCATTATTTCTATATTCTCCTATATATATCAAAATGATTGAAATAAAGATAATTTCAATGTATGGGAAAAATTTTAAAAAAAAATTAGGAAAATTTAAGCTTGACTTTTTGTAAAACATAGGGTATTGTAAAAGATAACCATTATTCAATTTCATTAAAATATTATGACTTTCTTATTATTTCTTAAAGTAAAATTTTTATATAAAATTTTAATTTTGATATTAGAAAACTGTTATGAAAAACAGTAAGAAAATCGTCTCAAACGAAATTTAAATCTCACCAAGTTGTTTGTGATCATGCAAACACTTAGATTTGCTAGTTTTTTTGTTAATCCAACAGATTATCAAAAGCTGGCATCCCTAAATAGAATTATTGCACATTAACTGCTTGGTGAAAAACTTGCTGCTATGGAGCTTCCTGACTACTAACCCAAAATAAAAACACATTCTTTATAAGTAAGCCATCAACTTCTATGGAAGTTGCAACAATTTGACCTTGCAAACATTTAAGAAACCATCTCCAGGTGGCCATATCTGGAGCAAATTTGATATGCAGCAAATTGCAGTGCAGTTCACTTTTCTTAAGAAAATACCTCACCCTTATTGACCAGTCGGTCACCAAAATTGGCAAGAAAAAGAACCAGCTTTTTGAACAAACATTTGTAGATTTGCTCATGAACGAAAAAACTACCAAGCAAAGGAGCCTTACAAAATAGCCCACTTTCTCTCAAGCCAATTCAAGAATTTTCAGGTTCAGTCAGAGAACTTTTCTTCAGATTTTTCATACTTCTCTGTATCTGTAAATCCATCTTCCATGGCAAACTCGGCAGTCAGAGCGTCCAAATCCGGTGTTATTTCCCAGTTACCTTTGTGGCTACCCCAGCTTCCACGCAGGGTTTGTGTGCCAGATCTCTCCAACACAGCCAGGCTACTAATCTGGCTCTGCACATCATCAAATTCTTCAGCACCCACAGCCATTCGTTTCCCACCCATCTCCAAGTCGAAGCTATTTTTAGCAATATCTGGACTCTTGGGCAAGGAAGAAGACAATACATTTATATCCTCATGAACCTTCGCTCGGAAATCATTTTTTGATGTGGGGATTGGAGAGAAGAAAACCTCCTTGAAGTTTTGGGTACAACCTCGATTGTATGGATTCATCTTACCATCATAGCGGTAGCGAAAATTTTGGTAAGTGGTCTGTATAAAAAAGAAAAAAAAAAAAAAAGACATGAAAGGGATAGTTCTGAGAAAAATGCTTTTTTTACCATCTTAAGGCTTCGTTTGGGCTTACTGTTTCTTAAAGCGGCTTTCTAGTATAAAAATTTTATTTTTTATACTAGAAAATCATTTTAAGAAGCAATAAAAAAGCCGTCCCAAACAAAGCCTAAGTCAACACATTTCAACACCATTAGAATCCTCATAAGCTGAACTCATTGTCTATATAACTGGTCAGATTAGCAAGTGTTGCAACTGTGTTGACTTTGTGGGTGTTGGAATTTTTCTTCATTCTGAGAGAAGAAAGTTACCTGATTGGTGCAGATCAAGTAGATGTGAAAGCTTGTCAACCCTCCAACAAACCAAGCAACTACAAAGGTGTATATTACGAGAATGCCAGAGACTGGTGACTTCATAAGTGCCTCCCACAAATTACACTCATAAGTAAGCATGATCTTCTTAAGGCTAACACAGCAAAAAGTAAGGACATAGAAACATAGGAGGGTTGTGGAAGAAACAAACATAAAGAAGAAGCGATAATTCCTCTGCAAAAAAATAAGAGTTGAATCAGAATAGATTAGTAAGTTGAAACTAAAAGCAAGAACACTTAGGTTGCATTAGTAATTTAAGCTTAATTTCATTAATATAAATGTAATTGAAATGTCCACTACCATCAGAGTACATGAAAGGAATTGCTAACGGTACAGTAAACATTTGAAAAAGGCAAAGTTTGGCATATGTGGAATATAGTGAACACAAATAGGCCGAATACAGATTAGGGAACTAATCTGCTAAGCTCCCATTTCATGTCAGTATACAGTAAAGTACACAATTTCCAAAGCCTCAAACTACTATTATCCCAGATATAAACTATAAATGTATTTAGATGGTAAGAATCATGGAAGCTAATTACTGTAATTAATGAAGATAACCATTCAGACGCTAAGAAAAGCTTTCATTCACCTAATAAGCTACTTGCATCACATATAAAGTGGCTAAAATTCACCTTTCCAATACACTGTCCCACCCAAGGACAGTGATGATCAAAGCGCTCAATACAATTATTGCAAATCGAGCAATGAGAACACCGTGGAGGCCGATAGAGCATGCAGGTTTGACAATATTTGACCCTGATTTGAACGCCATTAACAATAACATCTTTAAAAGGAGGTACACTTGAGAGTCCACCATGGCTTGCAGTGCATGACAAATTAGAAACTTGATCATCTTCTGGTTCTGGAGGATGTGGACTACGAGGAATGATACCCGGATCACGGCCAGATGTCAGGAAGAGGAGAAAAATAACCTGCAATGGACGATCCACTATTACCATTAATGAACTAATAAAATAGAATATTTGATGTAGCGTTGAATCTAGTTCTAGAAATAATATATGATTACATTAGTGATCCTTTTATGGGAGAAATTAGCGCTACATAATTTTAAACGAAAAGAAAACTGACGTGGAAATAAAGTGATGATTGAAAACTTCAAATCAATAAAAATCCTATCCAAACATATAAAAGACCTTTTTTTTTTAATTTATTTATTTTTTGATATATAGTACAGAAAAATTTTTAAATAGGCATACATGATTTGTGGAGCTCCTACAGATGCAAGATCTATAGAGAGGGGTAGATGCATGCAATCTTACCAATGGTAACAAGAACGAGCCTTTACACCAGTATATGAGATTGGCTACATGAATCCTTTTTAACTATTGTGTCCTATCAAAAATCAAATTCTAATTGAAATATATTAAAATAGAGAAAAGCACCAAAATGACCCCCAACTCTTTTAAGGGATCAGTTTGATCTCTCAACTCTTTAAAAAGGGATTTTTTGGGTCATAACATCAAATTTTGGAGTTTAGGGTGTTAAATCAAAGAGTATTTTAGTCATTATTTAATTAAATTATTTATTAAATATAATTTTCAAGTAATAGCATTTAAAAAAATTATTAAACATTTCTTTAATAAAAAAATTAATACTAATTCTCGTCTATACAACAACAACAACAAGCCTTTATCCCACTATGTGGGGTTAGCTAAATAAATCCTTTTTCTCCAGTATGTCTTGTTAAGAGTCAAATTCTCAATAATTCTTGTCTATAATGATCCTAAATTAAAACTAGAATTATTAGTAAAAATTTTTATTAAGGAAATATTTAATATATATATTTTTAAAAAAAAATTACTATTATTTGAAAATTTTATTTAATAAATAATTTAATTAAAAATGACTAAAATACCCTTGATTTAACACCATCAACTTCAAATTATAATGTTAGAACCAAAACTATCCCTTTTAAAGAGTTAAGGAATCAAATTAGTCTCTCAAAAGAGTTGGGGACCATTTTGATCCCTCATAAAGAGTTAAAGGACCATTTTGATTATTTTCTCTTAAAAATATAATTTTTAATACTTTATAACCAAATCTTTTTAGATCTAACTCTACCTTTTTAAACACAAGTCAATTCTAATACATTAACTCTCTTAACAGGGTCATCGAAAGGCTTACATTTTATTTGACCAAACCATCTAAGGCGACTCTCTCTAATTTTATTAACCACTCGAGCTACTCCAACTTTTCAAGAATATATTTGTTTCGCATTCTGCCTCTAAGTGTAAATCCACTAATCCACTTGAACATCCCCATCTCTGCAAAACCTAAGTTTATTTTATACTTCTCTTTTAATGGCAAACATTTTGTGTTATAAAGTATTGCAGGTCTCACCACCATCTTATTAAATTTTTCCTTAAGTTTGAGGGGTACTTTTCTATCATACCACGGACCTAATGCATTCCTTCACTTCAATCATCCAACTTGAATTCTATTAATAATATACCGATCTATTTCACCATCACTTTGAACAATAGATCCGAGAAATCTAAAACATGTAGTCTTTTTAAATGACTTGATCAACCAATGTCATCATCCCACCGCTAAATTTTTTACTACTAAAATTGCACTAATTTATTTAGTTTTATATCTACTCAAATGAAAATCTTAGAAATTATTTCTATGACTCAAATTTAGGATCCCCAAAATGCACTAAAAGAAACTTAACAAAAACAAACATGCACATGTTCTTCAACAAAAATACCCAACCATATCTAAACTTCTATTTCATTACTCTCTTATATAACTTCATTTTAAGATTTATATATTTTATTCCTCCATAATTAGTCTTATTCCTCCATAATTAGTACAATCTTAAACATCTAAATTGTTCTTTTGTTTTAGAACAAATTGATTCATCTTCAATCAATTTGCATTATATTCGTAATGTTAAATTTCTATATAAAATAATAATAATAATAATAATAATAATAATAATAATAATTGTTAATCAAATCACTACAATATCCTTTATAACTCAATAAACATTTCATATGGATCTGCAAACTAACATTTATGCATCTTTTTCATAGCCAACTCCGCTTCATCTTTTAGTTTAATCTTTATTACATTTAACGATATTATTCATTATAGTCGTTCAAAATAATTATTCCTTACAACTCTCACTTATTAATTTAAGAAAATAGCATTTTCATCCTTCTTAGATGTCTTCATTTCTAACCAAGGTCAAATTATATTCATTTCTAATGCATCCATCATGATCAAAGTCTGTCTATGCATTTCGTTTCTCTTGTCTTAACTATTCTATATATATCTTGTTCTCTGTCTTTAGCACCAGACAGCCATTATCTTGTGTTACTACGCTTTTCTTCTCTCTTGTTTGCTATTTTTACTTCCACTACGTATAAAATCACCTGAACTTAAATAAATTACTTTATTCAAGCAGATTATGGACATTACAAGTTTCCGCTAAAATGAATGAGTTCTTTCAAACAAATCACAGAAATAGCGCAATGAAAAAAAATCTAATGACAAAAGGAACGACCCCAAACTCTTATTAAATTGTCGAAAGCAAGTGCTTCTAAAGCTATAAAATGGAGATGCAAGCGTATCTTCAACCAACTAGCTATGGTCATTTCTCCTTCCAGGTTGCTGTCTTTGGGTCCTTAGTTGAGCCTTCTCATGGCAAGAATATTAATCCAAAGAAATTACACCAAGCAAATCTTAAAATCAGGCACTATACCATGTGGTCGATTTATAGATGGCAGTTCATAAAGCATAAGCTTGTTCAAAGAAAGAGAAAACAATCTTACACATTTAATGTTATGTTGAAAAAAAAAAAAGAGAAAACAATCATCTAAATGATTCAATTCCGAACTTATCTCACCATAATCAGTATAATGACAAGGTAGATTTTCTTCAAAGTTGAGAGGCCATACCTAGGTATATTGAAATAATTCAGAAGATTAAATATTCAAATAAATAGAAGATGTGCTCACATAGAATGCAAAGCCAACTGGTATACCCACTATGAGTTCCCCAAGATGATGCTGGAATTCATTAACCAGCCTCTGTGAAACAAACACTGCAAAGAGAAGCACTGGAACTATAATCAGAAATATTGTCAATACCATAGACCTCACATCAGGACCAAATATGAGCCTTCCACCAAGGAAAAATCTCTGCAAGATATTTTAGAGAAATTGAATTAGTTCCCTTCTAATAAAGAATATCTGGCAAGTACATTGACACTTAACATTCAAGATGATTTGCAAGACTGGATATCTTCTGAAGCAAGTTGCACTAGATTGCTATAAATTAGTCAAAGTTAACAAGCTGAATGTTATGATCAAAACAAAAACTATCCTCTACATTCTTATGGCAAGAATGTAAAACACTTCAAGTAGATTAAGAAACAATAAACAATACACCTAGGCAGTGAAATCCACATAAAAGTATATATTAAAAACAACTAACTAAAAAGAAGGCAAAAAGAAACATTCTTGTTAAATAGTTTTTTCTTATGTTATTTACGTTCTTTTAGAATCAACCAACCTCTACTGGCTCCCAGCTTTGAAAGAGCTTTTGAAACGGTCTTGGTAATATTACAAACGTAATAATGGTTCCTATTTTGTTGACCTCTGAATAAGATCCATAAGAAATAAAAAAAAGGTAATCATTCAAAATACCTGCTAAATCAAATCCCCAAAATCCCGGTTAAAATCCTCGTACCCGCCGAAATCCAAAAAATCCGCTGAAGTATCGTTGAATCATTGTTCATTCGGTGCTGTTTGAGTCGTTTCCCATTAATCCTGTGCAAAAACCTTGAGCTTCGACGCCTTCTCGCGGCTATAAAACGAAGATGAGAGCTCCGTTTGAGACTGGGCAAGGATCAACCTGTGACCTCCATTCTGCCACCAGGTAGCCGCTGGACCGAACCTTCCACCTCTCGACCGACCTCCACAGTAGACAGAACCCACGAGCCCCTTCTGCCTTTGAAGCCTGAGCCCGATGCCTGGCGCTGCTTGATCCTTGCCCAGTCAGTCTCCTCTCTACTAGCCGGATTGAAGCCCTAGAGCTAACCCGACACTGCCCCTACCTTCTATACCCGAACCGAGTCAAACCCCTATACCCGACACCTCTGCACTGTGGTATAGGTAAAAGGAGTTGATCCAAAATGTTGTTATTACTTAGTTGATGTTATTTTTAGTTGATTATTGCTATAATTATTATTAATTATAGTAATAATTAACTATCATTATTTTAGATATTATTAATATTGGTATTAACATTAATATTAATATGATTATTACCGTAATCGCCATTAGTATTAGTAATGATATCAATATTAATACGATCTTTAATAATGTAATTATTAGTATTATTATTGCAAAAAAAAAGAGAGAAAAGAGAGTGATAAAAAGAAAAGAAAAGTAATTTTGTGCTCTTTATCATCGTCACCCCGCCACACTCGTAAAGGTCTAACTCTTGACTCAAAAATCCTTCTCTCGTGGCTTGCGACGGGCCGGCAAACCCCCTACGCGCTCACGTAGCGTAGTAGGGAGGGAAACCGGTGCGGCGCTTGCGACGACCTAAAAAAATATCCTTTCTCGAGGCTTGCGACAAGCCGGCAAACCCTCTACATGCTCACGTAGTGTAGTAGGGAGGAAAACTGGTGCAGCGCTCGCAACAAGGCGGGTAATCCCCGGAGTGCTCATGTAGCACAAAGGGGACAAAAAATAAGTACCTCCAAACTCTCACGTAGTGCAGAGGGGGAAAGAAACTATGCTCTTTCAAATAAAAACTAAAAAAAAACCCTTAAACGCTCATGTAGTGGGCGGGGATAAATAAATAAATATAAATAATATATATATGCAACCGCGGTGTCATTTGACACCTACCTGAAGCGCTCATGTAGCGTCGAGGGGAAGGCTGCCTCTTGATTTTTCCCCTAAACGGGAGGCTGACGAAATTTCATTTGAAAATGCTGAGGACTTGAACAAAAAAAATGATATCGGACTTGTATTTGGACACAAAATGAACCATGAAATACTTGAATCAATTGTGAACTCAATTTGAACTTGATTGAATGAAAATAACTTAAGTGAACTCAAACTCAAAATGGACCTGAACTTGAACTCAACATGATTTGAATTCAAAGAACAACAGAGGATTCGAACAGAAGAGGCTCGTATTAAGCCTGAACTTTAATTGAATATATGGAGGACTTCATTTGGACTCGAACTCAATCGGAACATAACATGAACTTGAGCTTAATTGAGTGTGATGATTTGAATCCTAATTTAAATGAACTTGAATATGAATCTAAATTGGATTGAATTATGTTGAGATGAATAATTTCTTGAAGGGTTAATTCCCTAATGGAATCATCACTTTGGTTTGAATGCAAATCCTAACTAAGAAAGATTTGAGTCATTCAAATCTCATGCAAACAAACAAAGACCCATGTGTAAATCCATTCCAAACTTTGACATGGAACTTTTGAATGATAATTTCTAGTATGCAAAGATCATCTTAATTGGGATAAAGATATTGATAAGTGATGATATTAAACTTATCATGCATATTGAATCATCAAAGTAAGAAGTTTGCAAATAAAGTTTGCTCATAAACTGAGGAACTTAGTTTGATTATAAACTCATAATATGAGCTTTTGGACCATACCGATTGATTCATAATATCGAAACTAGCTCATCCCTAAGCTACTTGCAATGAATGTATTGATTCATTAAACAAGCTCTTGATGAATATGATGATTCATGGTTTGCTCGTAACCAATGCCAAAGTATTCATTAATCCATCTATAATCAATGATGATTGATACACATCAGTGGTGAAAGACCCTTTGCATGAAAATGCTATATTTATAGGTGGCAATCATTGACTAACAAACGAGTGCAATATCTCCCTCTTGAATAACAATGGTGAACAAATCACAAACCTGAAAATCTCCCTGAGTTCGACATCGATTATTTCACAAACACACTGTGGTCCTTATAAATGCCAAAAGATATAAGCATTTGCAATGGTCCCCATAAACATTGAAATATATGCAAGAATGTAATAATGGAAAATGCAAATGAACTTCAAGGATAAATGGACATATAATGACTTATCCATCAGTGATGCATTGATATGATCATGGATAAAATTTGGAAATCTAATATCCCTACAAAGTATGAAGAATGCAGAAGTCAAGGACAATTATTCATATCATTGGCAATGATATTACAGAGAGTATAGATGTCTGTCCCTACAAGAAGAGAAGCTAGATACACCATGCACAAGATGATTTGATGTGTATGATGAATATTGAAGAATATACGAAAGTTGTCGGTTCAAGACAGTGGCCACTGATTTTGAAGTACAAGACACCAGTAAGGACGCAATCATCCAAGGTTGAAATGGCTGATCCTTATGGTAATGATGACATAATTAGGAGTCGCTTATAGATTCCTATATGAGTTACGGGAAAAGAAAGCCAGATCAAATTATTACAAAGTGAGTCTCGGTTCAATCAAATCCTGAACACTGAGTTGGGTAAGGTTATTGAAGCTTGCAAGTTTCTTGATGAATAGTGATCGTGCTTCCAACATACCTTCTGCATACGAATATTAAAGTATTACGACAAACACAGATTTGTACGAGCCATCGTAGAAGACCCATTGGATATCTAAGAATGCCCCCGCGCGTGGTTTTGGCACATTCTTCAATTACGAGGAAGGATGTTATCTTGAAAACTTTTTATACTAATAATGTAAGTTGAAAACTTTTTCTACTAAAAAGTTTTTTTTTTTTTACTTTATTAGGTTTTTTTCATAAAAATTTCAAATATTTCAATCTTTAGTTTATCTATTTGTGTATGTAAGATGATAGAGATAGACCACATTCTATTGGCTTTATTTCTCATGAGCAACAAAATTCAAACGGAAAGGGGGGTATACTTGATGATTTAACATTAAAAGCACCCAAACAGTCCTTTTCCTTTTTTTTTAGTCGTGAGAAAATCAGGTAAACAAAATAAGCCAAAGTGACAAACATACTACCACAAGTCATCAATAAACTACAAAAAAATATTTTCAATCATATTTTGGTGCCTTGTTGGAATTTTATTGCAATATAAAACATAAAAGTGACTCAATGAAACATACATTGTTGCCCTTCCAGACTTGATATACTCTCTTCATTTGCCCAGATGCTTCATTCCTCCGGTTTGAATCAGATAGCTTTGGTGGAAGAGGAGGCGCGAACAATTTCCCCTGCATTCTCACAGAAATTCCACCTCCAACAATGACCGCCAGTTACGTTACGATATCTCGATCTTCAAAACCAAAAATGCACCTCGAACAAACAAAGAAGATTTGAGGCGCAAAGCATCCACGAATCCAGAAACCACAATAACTAATAATTAAAAAAAAAAAGTTATCTAAACAATGCCTGTCACAAAATGAAGGTGGTGGAAAAATTAAAGAATGAATGATCACACAAAAAAAAAAATCAAAATGTTCAATGTATGGAAAATGAGTAGAAAGAGATCTTCATTTCATAAATGCCTACGAGAATAACAGTTGTTCCTGGAGATCCGACGAAGAAAAGAGCCAGAAAACAAGCTCTTTTTCTTTTATCGGCAAGATCTCTTCTTCAACGGACCGCCAAACGAAGGCGAAAGGGAAAGCAGTGACGATAGCTACGGATGGGAATCGGCGACGAGGGAGGATTCGCCAGTCATTGCCGGAGGCCGAGCTCCGACTTAACCTGCGCACATCTCGACGCGCGATGCAATAGGAAATGCTTATGTTACAGGCTAAAAGTACGATAAATGATGGTATAAAGAAGACAATATGTAGTGCCGAATATTTTATCATGAAGATCATAAAAAATGAGTTTTTAAAAATTTTTAATTTATTTTAAAATTAAATATAATATATGATTTATTATTTATAATATATTTAATAAAAAAAATTTAAAATTTTCTTCAATTTAATTTAATCAAATTTAAGTCATATTTTATATAAGTCTCCTTTAATTGACATATTTAAAAATTCAACTATAAAAAAGTTATATAATTTTTATTTAATTTTAATTATATTATGATTAAGATATATAAAAAAGAGAAAAAAATTATAAATAAAGTTTCCGGCCTAATCTTCTTCTTTAATTTTATCTTTAAATATTTAAAATGAATTTAAATATATTTTGATTAGATTTGAATTATAATATTTAAAAAAATTAATTTATTTAAAAATAAATATAATATATGAATAACTAATTACATATTAAACTGTCTAATCAATTATGCAAATAATTTATGAAAATAAAATACTAGAATAGTTAAATTTTAAAAATTAATGGGTTTTTAAAAGTTAAGGAATCCAATACTCATCAATTTAAATAGCCCCCACAATTCATTGATTGAAGATATACAATATGCTTTTAAAAACTGATGATTTAATTTATTTTCATTTTGTGTGAAATATGAAGTAATTATATTTTAAAAAAATTTGAAGTTCTTTGTTTTGAACTTAGGTAAGTTCTATTTGGGACGTCTTTTTTATTGCTTCTTAAAACAACTTTTTAGTTTAAAAATAAAAATTTTTATACTAAAAAACTACTTTAAGAAGCAGTAAGAAAGCCATCCCAAACGAAACCTTACTCTTTACACTTTGTTTAAAAATAATAATAATAAATTTAAGCTTTATTTGAGACACTTTCGTATTACTTTTTAAAGCGACTTCGTATCATAAAAATCTTTTGAACTAAAAATTTTATACTAGAAAGTTATTTTAGAAAGCAGTAAAAAAGTCATCACAAATAAAACCTAAATTTATTTAATGCCGCCTTTCTTTACAACAAACAAATAAGAGAGTAAATAAAATAGAATTTAGATGATTTTATTTTTTTTGGTAATAATAATAAATTTACAAGAGATGTGAGTCAAACCAACTCTTGAGTGGTTTAATAAATTGCTCATAAATTGAATTCGATGAGCTAATGAACCAAATTTTAAAACCTAGACTCCAATCATAAGCTCACAAGCCAGCTTATTTAAAAATATCATTATAAAAACATATTTTAAATATATTTGAATTCAAAAGTTCAAATATGAAGCTATTATAAATATTTAAAAAAATATATATTTTAATTTTGTTATATAAAGTGATTCTTTATTATCTATTTTCTAAATTGATATTTTTTATATTTTTATTATAATAATTATTTAAATCATAATTATTTAAATTGTTATTTTCTCTCTTTCTTTATACATGAGCTTACTCACGAGTCAGCTTGAACTCAAAAAATTAAGGTCAAGCTCAAACTCAAAGTTACTTAATTAGTCAAATTCAAGCTCAAGCTAAGACTCAGTTCAATTCTATTTTAATAACTCATCAGTAGCTCTAAAAGTTGCATGACTTTCTTCTATATAATACTTAAAACCTATTGCACTTAAGGCTTCATTTGAGACGACTTTTTTATTGCTTCTTAAAGCAGCTTTTTAGTATAAAAATTTTCATTTTTATACTAAAAGACTGCTTTAAAAAGTAACAAAAAAATCATCCCAAACGAAGCCTAAATATCAGTTAAGCCTATCTCAGCTATTTGGCTTTGGCTTTATAACTCCTAAATTTTCATTAATTTCTATTTAGTGCTACTTGATGTGCCAAACACATACTTTGCAAATTATTTTTAAACCACTTCTATCTATATTAACTCAAGTGTAGTACCCATTTTCCTTCCTAATCTCCTCTCAAAGGTGTATTTAATTAGGATTACAAACCCTAAATTTTTTTTCAATATTTTCAACCTAGTCATTGCCCGGACAAATGTTCGAATCATCGACAACTGTAGCGAGCTGCCGAAGAAGGGGCAAAGGAAAATTGTTAAGATTTCCTATTTGTCATCAAAGAATTTGAAGATGCCATGGAAGATGAAGTCGACTTCCAATCTTGTATCCTGTGAAGGTTTTATTAGCACGGGAACAAATTTGCCAGATCAACGCACTATTGTATGAGCCCAAAACCCAACAAGAAATAATGGATAAGTTACTACAAAAGCAGCTCATCTACCATAGTTTAAGCTCATATGTGGCTCCAACTTGATCATTCTAAAGAAATATGGCTCATGATACATGTTCGTCTACAATAGAGCAATCAGCAAAATAACTATCAAATTTAGATTCTGATAGGCCGGTCCCTGGACCGGTCCAACCAGGACGAGTCCAAGTGTTTAGGAGGTGGAACAAGGGGGGTTCCACCCCCTTCTTTGCTGCCTATGCTTGTGGAGTCCACGAATTTAATTTGGGAGGAATTTGGGGGAGAATTAGGAAGGAAAATTCAAATAGGAAGAGTGATTTTAGGATTTTAGCTAATTATTGCATGCTTAAGTATGTTTTGAAGGTTAGGATTAGGATTTATCTCTGATTTTTGCTGAAATTAAAGTTCTTGTGTTCTTGAGCAGACTCTAATGGAGACTAAAGATTTGGGAGAGACGGATCTTCCTCTCCAATTGAAGATCTATTGTATCTTGATGTTTTTTAATCTACTATCAATCAAAAAGTTTAATTCTGATTTTTTTCCTCCTAAGTTCTTTGCAATTTCTATTTTTACAAATTGCTGAAATTAAATTCCAGCAACGGAATTTCTGATTTTCTACAAGCGTTACCTATCACGGTCCAAATAACCAGCACCAAATTGGAATGTCTTTGTAAATTCTACATTGAAGACAATGATTTTGCTATAGATGAGCTAAGTACATGAAACATTCTTCCTCCAGCAACTATTCTATACAACAAGGATACCTTTTTAAAGGGAACTAACTGTGCATTCTCAATACATTCCTCCATCATCAACTAATTAAGGATTGCCACAGTGACGGCCTCACAACACACACAGAAAAGGACCAAACATTATATCTAGTGCAATTTCGATCTTTTTGTCCATGTGTAGACGTGTATCGTTTGCCATCAATTCAAGAGGATTGATAAAAAATTCAACTTCTCTCCCTATCCCAAAATTTACATTGGAGTATTTGAGAATGGATTTCATGCTGGGCGTACCACAAACCGGCGAGGCGTGGAATCTATTATGGTAGTTGTTGACCGCTTCTCCAAGATGACTTGCTTTATAACATGCAAGAATATCTTTTATTTCGTAAATGTGGCCAAGCGATTTTTCAAGGAAATTGTTCATCTTCATGGGTTCCCTCATAGCTTGACGTCACGTAATGACATCACATTCAGGTAATTTCTGGAGAGAATTTTAGAAGCATTTACAAACTAAACTTAAATTCAACTAAGCAATACCGCCCGCAATCTGACAAGCCAAATCGAGATGTCATTAACCACACCATAGGTAATATGATACATTGCCTTACCGAAGATCATCCAAATCAATGGGATGATGTACTAGAGAAGGCTGAATTCCATGATTTATCAAAACATTGGTAAAAGCCCCTTCAGCATTTTATACACCAAAGAACTCAACCATACTATGGATATTGTGGTGTTAGTGAACCCTAGGAGCCAACCTGCTACAAAGATGATGACTAATTTCGATCAAGTGCTCCAGGAGGTGAAAGACAAACTATCAAACAACAACAAAAACTACAAATGACTCAACATAGGAGGCTTAAAATAATTAATGTCGATGATTAGTTATGTCCCACCTCTGCAAGGAACATTTCCTTCTTGGAAGTTAAAGTGAAACTTTGGAAAATCCACCAATTTCCTATTGTTAGACACATCAATGCAACTCGCCAAAATTCTCTGACTCATTGCTTTGCTTATCTTCAACTAGTTTTCTTGTAATCCTTAATTTCTACTTTAGTGTTAATTTGCATGATTAGTTGTTAAATAGTTGATTATTTAGCTACCAGTAGGGAATATATACTCCCACCAACAAATAGCACATGACCATTTTTGTTTGCCCAAATTTCTCATTGTGGTTGAAAAGGCTATCTCATGTTTTGCACATTTGCCTTCTTCCTCTCCTATAGGTATTTACACCCCATATCTTTTTATGAGCATGCTTGTATAGGTTCATATCCAAATGTGTCATGCACAAAATCTCAGTCTAAATTAATTAGCTTTAAATTGAGGGCAATTAATTGATGAAAATCCACTTCATAATCATGAACATATTTAAATTTGAAATCTTCGACCGATAGACCTACTATGTGTTTGAAGGCTGACCTGCAATTGCTTTTGATACTGTCAGCGAAGCTTCTATCTATCAAATTATGAGGATAAAGGGATTGATGGATATATTTGTGAAGTAGATCAAGGGCTGCATTGATTAAGTGAAACAAAGGGACTGAGGGGAGTAGATAGGTCGACAAAATAGAAGAATATGCTCTATTAGAGTATGATTGAATAAAAGTAAGGTATGAAGCTAGAAGCAGAAGATAAAAGATAGGGTAATGTAAAATATTGAGTTTATCTCATAGATAACCCTACATAACTTGCATATCTTTAATTAAATTCCTTTAAAAAAATCCTTCCAATGAGATATTTCTTCTGTTACAAACTAATCACTTATATACATTCCTGTATAGGTTCATATCCAAATTGTTAGCAATGTGTCATGCATAAACTTCTATCTGAAATCAATTTGCTTAATGTCTAGGGAAATTCATTCATGGAAATCGATTTTATGCTCAAGAACTTATTTAAATTAGAAATCTTCAATGGGGAGACCTGCTATGTGTTTGAAGGTTGACCTATAATAGCTCTTGATACTGTTAACAAAGTTCCTATCTATTAAATTATAAGGATAAAGTGAACGGTGGATATAGTTATAAGGCCAATCAAGAGCTACATTGATTGAGTGAAATAAGGGGACTGAGGAGAGTAGATAGGTCAGCAAAATAGAGGAGTAGGCTCAATTTAGAATATAATTGAGTAAAATGAGGTATTAGGCATAGGCGGAAGATAAAATATAGAGTACTATAAGATACTGAGCTTACCTTATAAAGAACCCAACAAAACTTGCATATCTTTAATTAAATTCCTTCAAAAAAAACAAAACCTTCCAATGAGATCCTTCTTCTCTTATGAACTAATCCAATAGACAGAGCATTCAAAAACATAAGCATTAGATAAAAACGAAGAATTGAAAGCACCAAAGAATTGATGACAGCCTACTTGTGATTGTACTATGAAAGCATGGTCTTGATGCTCCAAGAGCAAATCAAGGGAAGGGATAACAGAAATACTATCAAAAGTAAGCCCTTGGGTTGGAAAAACCTCACTCTTCCATCAAGCAAGGAAGATTGAAACAACTACACCACCACGCCGAAATATTAGAAATCACAGTTAAGCATAATACTCCAACTATTGCGCATAGTGAGATCAAGAAAACACCCATTATGGTAGTGAAAATTATATAGTGAACCCGTTAAAAATGATCAACATTTTCTATCTAAAATGATGCTAGAATTGGGTTTCACGTTCACCAAAACAAAGGCTAAGTAGGTTTTGCAGCTTAGTTGCACAAATATTACTCTAAACAATAAGGACTACATAATGACGACTGAAATGGATGAAAGAATAAAATAGAGAATTATTATTTTTAATTCAAAAATAATAACATAATGCAAGTATTTGCAAGACAAGAACTCAAGTAACATATCTTGAATCATTGTCAGTGCCAAGGTGTATTCTGAGCCCCTAGTGGTTTAGGCCCTTTACAACTCATGCATGATTCCAAAATCAATGAGTGCAGAGCCGATAGACTGATAGAAGCATCTTCAACACCAATTACATAGCGACTACACTGTTAAGCTGTAAGGATTCATTTCAAAATCATGGAAATATAAACCACGAATTCATCTCAAAACTGCAAAGAACTCCTAGATCAACATCAATTTGAGTGTAACGAAAACAGATCCAAGTATCCAAAGACAACTTTCTGCGATCAGCAGCAGATCTACAAAATTCTACAGCCAAGCATCTATGTAACTTTAGACAAAGTTTTCTTACAATTCCTACAAAGGATCGTTCCTTTTTTTTTTCACGTTTCAATTCTCTTAATAGATCTTCCGACCAGATAAAACCTAACTCACCAACAGAAAGAGAAAGAAAAGGAAGGAGAGGGACTCAAGTCGGTTTAAATTCAAGCCTGCATCGAATTCTTTGTGATGGACTTCATCTGGACGTGATCCAAATCATTGAGTCCTCCGGACAAGGAAGATGTAGCCAAAGCCTCGTAAGATCCGCCATTGTACCGCCTTGGGTGGCCTCCGCCTGAGCCCCAGTTGACTACTGCGTAGATGGCGACGGAAATGACGGAGATGAAAGTGGTGTGGAGTGCGAACGCAAGATCAAGGAGAGCGGCAGCGCGGTTACGTGAGTCCTCGAGCTCGCAGCGTATGGATCCGTCGGTAACTTCGAGCAGGCGATGGCAACCCTCAGGTATGAAGGCCTCGACGTAGAGCGAGAGAACAGTTTGGAGGGACCAGAGTCCCTGAAGAGATACAGAGGCGGCGAGGGCAAGCTCGGCCAAGAAGAGTCGAGGATAGACCGCGAGAGCTAGGGAGAAGGCGGCGGACGCAGCGGAGATCGCCGAAGAGATGGAGTCGCACTTGGATTGAAGGTCCGAGGACAGGTAGGCGGAGGAAGCAGAAGAGAGGAGAGCGAAGGCGACGGCGGCCAGGAGGAAGATGAGGTCCGGGGGAAGGGAGAGGGGAAGGATGAGGGAGATCGTGATGAGGAGAAAGAAGATGAGGGAAGCGGCAGTCTGGAGAGAGGAAAAGCGGTTGGCAGCAGCGGAGGAAAAGAAGGCGTGATGGGCTATGGAGATCAGGAGGGAGAGGAGCGCGAGGTAGAGAGGGAGATGACGGATAAGATGATGTAGGTGGGATGAGAGGAGTAGGGGGTAGTAGGGACGGGCAACGTGGTCTCCATTGCCGGCGACTGCGGCACGGGAGGAGGATGATGAGGGAGAGTTTGGCCTGAAGAAGGAGCGGGTGGCGGAGACAAGGTGGTAGATGCCGCAGGAGAAAAGAGCGAGGAAGGCGAAGGTGTGGTATAGAAGAACAGCCATTAGTAACCTGCTGTGATCTCCTTTATTCTCAGTCTGCCTTCTATGATTTCTCTTCTTCAAGGAACGAAGAGAAGAGATCAATTTCTTTTATATAAAAAAAGAAGATAGATAAAATCGGAAGCACAATCGAAACGCAGTGATATAATTAGGAAAAAAATTACTTATGTGCATACAATACATTTTGATCAGCATATTCTATCTAATTTTTCTCCCTACAAAATATACTCCCCTATGCCTTGGTCTAGACAAAACTTTTTTTTTTTAAAAGAAAATATTAGAGTCCAAATTTTGTATATTTGATCATCATCATTATTAATATTATTATTATTAAAATTAAAAGTTATCATTACTAATACATCATCAAAAAAATTTATCGGGATCAGGCATGAATCTCGAGGCAAAATCAAGTTGGAAACTTCCAAAATTAAAATTAAGATCATCCGAACTTCGATTTCAGCAAACTTATAGTCAAATCGAACGTCTCGGAAATACGAACCCAACGACACTAAATTCAACTCAATCTGAGCCCAAATGGGTATGAATCGAGGACCTGAAACACTGTTGGAAGGTTCAAACCACAATTTGGATTATCAAACGGTTTCAAAACGTGACATGCTTATAGTCGAATCAAGCGGCTCGACGAGACAAATCCAACGAGCCCAAAATCACGGAATTCTAACATCATTATGACCTTCAAAAGTCTAACGAACGTTCCACGATCAGGGGATTCAACATCGGTCATGCATCCAAACCACTCCCCATTTACCATTGATATTCCTCCTATTTACGGGCCATGCCACTCTAAGAAATTTAAAAATAGACCCCCGCCTTCCTCTTTAAAAGGGACCCTAAGACTAAGGAGAAAAGAGAGATAACAAAGATCACACTTGCCTCCTTGCCTCCTCGACCACCGCTTGGAGTTCCGCCGGACCACCACCTGAGGCCCTGAGTTCAGTTGAACAACCACTTGAGTCCCTGAGCTCCGCCAGACCACCACATGAGGCCCGAATTTCCGCCGGACTACCACTTGAGGCATGGAGTTCTGCTGGACCACCAACTAAGACCCGGAGTTTTGTCAGGCCACCACCTGAGGCCTGGACTTCCACCGAACCACCGCCTGAGGCCAAAACTTCCGTCGGACCATCACATGAGGTACGGAGTTCTGTCGGACCACCACCTGAGGCCCGGACTTCTGCCGGACCACCACATGAAGCCCTGAGTTACGCCAAACCACCACATGAGGCCTCGAGTTTCGTCGGATCACCACCTGAGGCCCAGAGTTCTACCGGACCACCACTTGAGGTTTGGACTTCTGCCAAACCACCACCTGAGGCCCGGACTTCTGCCGGACAACCACATAGGGCCCGAACATCTGTCGGACCACCACCTGAGGCTCAGACTTCTGCCAGACCACCACCTGAGGCCTGGACTTCTGTTGAACAACCACCTGAGGCCCGGAGTTTCGGCGAACCACGACCTAACGCCCGGAGTTCTACCAGACCACCACTTGACGCCCGAAATTCTACCGGACCATCACTTGACACCCGGAGTTCCGCAGGACCACCATCTAATGCAGGACTTCTGCCGAACCACCACCCGACGCTGAAGTTCTGCCAAACCACCGCCAAGCTACCAACTGATGCCCGAATTTTTAAGTAGCATCAAAATGCTGCCAATCCACTAAGTGACGCTAGACTTTCATCTCGTTGTCACTAGATTTCAATCATACAATTGGCATGTATAATCTAATCGCTCTCAATGATGAGTCAGACCACTGTAATCTACTCGAATTCTAGTGGAATCATTTTCAACTAGGCCAGACCCCATGATTTTTCCCCTTTCCAAGGTTTTCTAAGTAAAAAAATCTTATGTTATTTGTGTGTGAGCTGGATATCCGTACAATGCTAAAATGTAGGATTTTAATTCTATCGCCGCATATACTCTAACCCGCTTCAGGTCTTCAATTTGGACCCATTCAGGATCGGATTGAACCAAATTTGGTGTCGTTGGATTTCTCTTTTCGAGACTTTCAGTTCTACTATAATTATGTTGATATCAGAGTTCATACGATTCCAAATTTAATTTCGAAAGTTTCCAACTTGATTTTGCCTCGAGATTCGTGCCCAATAATGATTAATTTTTTAAAGATATATCAGTACAAGAAAACTGTTTTATAAAGTACTAAGAAAGTCGTCCCAAATGAAACCTAAATAGTTTCAAATAGTGTAAAAATATTAACAAATGATATAACTTACCAGGATTATATGATTAGGTGGTCTAATGGGGCCATACAATTCAAACTGAGCTAGATCAAATCTATATAATCTAAGCATACCAAGAGAGGGATGTATTGGAAATATAATCAACTTGCTAATTTTTTTTAATATCTTCCTAACTCATTCCACATTCTACACATGTGAAAGATTGTCAACCCCTGGGCACGAAAAACGGTACATCTCGACAATATGGGACGCGATGAACAAATATAAAAATATATTTATTGTGAATATATTTCACAATAGAAAATTTTATTTACAAGTAATCTAAACATAACATATAAAAGAAAAAGAAAGTAAACTAATATCTTATTTTCATTAATAAAATTCAAAACAAGAGCACATCAATGAATAAAAAAATATAATATAAAAAAACACTTAACAACTGCAAGAGAAAAAACTATTCAAACTCACAATAAAAAATAAACTACTATATGAACTTAAGACTACCAAATAAAATTATTCTATTAAAAAATATGCTCCTCTGATGATGGCCTCTTAAATACTCCAATAAAATCAGTTGTGAGAAAAGTTTATAACAGATGAATCTGATAACTTAAACTCAATAACTAACTCACATTTATTAAAGTATAAACAATAAAACATTGGGATATATAATACAAACAAAGAAGGAAGCATAAGTACCAATATTTGTTACGTGTTAAAAATTTTGAGCAGAGTGTATGTTTTACGTCTCAACATTGTATAAAAATGCAACACGCAAAGATAAAAATAGTAAACCCAAAAAAAATTACGTAAAAAACTCCAAAAGAAAGAAAAAAACCACAAAGCCCAGTCCATCTGAAAATCTACTATATGATAGGTGATATAAGAATACTCTCTTATAATTGAAGACGATGAAGTTATTTGAAAGTAAATATCTAATTTTTTCCAATGAGGACTATAAAACAAATATTCGTGAATGGACAGTTGACACCCAACAGCAGGGACTTCATTTCTCCTATAACAGTTACATATTTGAATCCACTTCCCTCCCCAAGATGAGTGTTTAGAGAGAGAAAAAAACTCATAAAAATGAAATATGATGAATAACTTTAAAAAAAATCAGGCACTTGGAATAATTATTGCATTAACAATCACAAACTAACAGCTACAGTGACCAACAATATGCAATTACCAATCGGTCCCATGAGAATGAGGCTATAAGATCTATCTCATAATGAGAACTCACGTCAAAGTTCAGCAATGCGCATGGCCCATACACGTAGGAGACGATTAACTAGGCTCAGTGGGTCCAATCTAGCCTAAGTTGGTCTGGTTCAACTTCATTTAATCAGTAAAGGATCATTTATTCTCATTTTCTCCATTTCAAGTGATCCAAATTTTCATAGACTTGATATAGATACTTCAGAGCTTGTTTGGGTTTAGTCAAGCCATCAAGAGCCTATGTGACCTTCAGTTTGATCTAATCAATTCTGATTTGATCCTTGTTGATCACTTCAAGATTACTTTGGACGATCCCAAGAGCTTCAATAATTTATTACTAGAGAAAGCCAATTCAATCCGGAAATCACCAATTTGGACCGGTTCGGTTGTCAAAGATCATTAGTTTGGTATTGGAAATTACTAACGACAAATATTGTATTCTTAGTGGGTTAATGAAATATTGAATAGAAAAATTAAAATAAATACAAGACATTAGAATGCAATGACAATTTCCTTGGCCCAAAAATAAAGGCCATCAACTTCAACATTTTGATAACAAATTAAGATTTAATTTTAAAGGAGAAATTACTACAAGAATACTGTAAAATTAAAATACTATGCATGTAGAAGGAAAGCTTTGAGTACCTAAATACAGAAAAATTATTGTATGGCAAGCAGATCACCTTCTGTCATTGAACCATTCAAGTGCTGTGGAAGTCATTTGTGCTTTGTAATTTTCCTGCCCAGGATATCTAAATCATAATAATGACCTTAGTAAAAACCAGTACATCGAGATCTTCTGGTATGGTTTTGGTGTAGTGTAATAACTTGCTTCCCCATAAGAAAAGATTGGAGGCAAAACCAAACTATTTGGTGCTTGTCATTGCGATAAAATAGAGATATATATGATAGTACCATCTGAGAGGACAGGTGGAAAGAATTGCTTGTAATCGCTCTAGTATTTCACAAGAGCTGGCAAAGAAGCATATAGTTCTGCCAAGCATTGAAAAATCCAGTTGAGAAGTTGCTCATCTGGCAACTCTAGTAGAAGTTCAGCCTGTAAAAGATGGAGAAAGAATAGTACAGCATTAGTTGATTGAATAATTTTTCATTAAATAGTTTCATGAAGGAAACAGAAGTTTTAGACATTGGCGATATTCAAAATTAGTGTAAAAAAATTACGATAAACTGCTTCTTTCAAAATTTAAAATGCTTTGATCTTTGTTTCTCATGTAAATAAAGTTGGTTAAATTTACATTGATGAAATAGAAAATCCTGAGATAAGCAATTCTACTTCTACACAACTATAGATGACGCAGCACAATGACAATATCACAAATAACAGCGCTGCATCAAACTTGAAGATGAACATCATTATCAGCATTCAAAAATCTTAAAGCAATTATCAAGCATGGTCAGCCCTTCCTTTAAGGATTTCCAACCGTGATCAAATTCAAGACCATTCTATCTACCAAACTTGTTTGGACAATCTGTTTCCCCTTGTACAAGCAATATGTGATGGAAATCAAGATCATCGCCCGTCCATATGTGCTTGGCCTGCCACTCAAAGGAGGGATATGAAAACTGCAGTCATATGGAATCGGTACCCTTGCCTATTTGGCTTTGGCTGACCCTTCATATAAGAATATACAGCATGTAACCATGGATCAATCATAGAATGAAGAAAACTATTTTAATTTGTTTGATTGCAATTGTGGTGATAGCTTGATGGCCTGATCTAAGAGAATTTTGATTAGTTCTCAAGTTATCTCATACTGTTGTTGCTCCCTCAAAGCTGCACATACAACTCGAAGCTGCACATACAACATCAGCTTCGTGCCTCTGTGCTGATGTTTGCATTCGAACTCCAACGCTAGTCTGGTTTCTATGCCATTGATGTCTTCAATGATGGCCCTCCTCCACCTCCTTAACCTTCCTACATAGAATATGGCCTTCCATTTTACTTACTAGGGTTTCCCTTAGTTCTTCACGCCCTTTGCCAGTAATTGATGACACCAAAATCGAGGAACCAGCTCTTGCTTCATCTCTTTCTACGCCTATCTACCATTGGACTCTTAATGCCTTATTTTATAAGGCAGATATACCTGCGCTGATCTCTCCTTTTGAGGTGCATATCTTTATGGAGTCTTGAGCCACATCTTCTCCCATGTGGAACCCACTCCTTGGCTCCTAATTTTAGCTTCCCCATTCATTTTGTGGTTGAGGTTGGTTCTTCCATGGCAACCCATCTTTTGATGCAACAGCTGCCACCAGGGCATACCACAACAATCTTTTAAGTAGCTTCTCTATTGTGAGTAGGACTAACATTATTATCTCTTCATGCACTTTCACTTTTAAGATCCAAAGTAATAGAAGAAGTTACTTCTCTGATGTAGCTGGCAGCAACAGTTCAACTGCTCAGGTGGGGCCCACGACCTCCTTTATCACCTATAGGAGAAGAGGCTTTGGGAGGAAACTCTTTGAAAAAGGGAGGAACTCTTTGGGAAAGATATAAGGGGCATTTATTAGGGGATTTGAGCTGCTAAAGGGGGGAGATTATGGATGGTTAGGCTTTTTATATTATATCTTGAATTTCTGCAGCAGTTTTTGTGAGGTGTTTGGGTTCCTAGTAGCTGCTAGGAATTGAGGGAGAGACGATTCACCTCTCGAACAGTGAATCAAATTGTATCTTGTCTTGCTTTGCTTGGAAATTAGTAAAAACAGCTCTCTTTGTATTATTCTGGTACTATTTGGAGTAAGTTGTTGTTTTTTATATTGATGCGTGTTGTTTAGATCATCAAGTCCTATCAAATTGGTATCAAAGCAAGATTTGGGACCTATGGCGCTAAAGAAAGTGGATGTTTTGGAAGAGAAACTAGAAGGAGAAGTTGGTCAATTCAAATCTAAAGTTGAGTAAAGGATTTCATCCATGTAAGGAAGGTTTTCTAACCTAGAGGACATGATGAAGAAAATATTGGAGCTTCACTCCCAACCAACAACATTAAAGGTGATGGCACCAATGGGTGGCCAAGGAAGTGGGGGAAACCGCAAGATCGGCACAGTGAGGAATGATTGAGAGGTAGAAATCTTGGGCGATAGGGAAAATATGTCACCTCTTGAACCAATAACAAGGAGGGAAATGGGTAAAGGATGCAGCATGAGGAGAAATTGGGAGGAAGAAACAAATATGTTATAACCTAAAGCTTCCTATTATTTTGGATCTTCATGAGAAAGCTAGTGATGTAGTGCCGGTTATCCTATCTGCACAGAGGTTCATCATACCACAGTTTTAGGCCTCCACTTCTTTAATTCCTTTTTCCGTTTTACTGGTACACTTTTCCCTTTTCTTATGTTACTCTACTTTTAGCAAAAGGTTTGTTAGAGCTACAGGGAGAGAAATTATATATAGGAGCCACAGATAGATGAAGGGCAGTTTTTGCTGTTTCAGAACCTTGACAAAGTTCAAGTTTAATATACAGGCCTTTGACGCCTTCTTCTTCTTCCTCTTCCTCTGTCTTGTGTTCTTGTTTGCTTGTTGTTTTCTCTTGGCAGGTCCTGGAGTACATCAGCTAGCCTAGAAGGTGTTGACTGAAGTCTACTCCCAAGGCATGCTTGTTGGACTTTGCCGTTGTTGTTGATGTTGTGGGTTCGAAGGTTGTTCATGCCTAGTATTCTATTGTTATTTAACTGGCTCTAGTTATCTATTGGTTATTAGGCTTGCCAAATGCCTACTGGCATTCCACAATTCACCTTTGTCACCTTGTTAGCAACTACTAATGCATGCCCAAACATGTAAAATAAGGTCAAGATGATATCAAATATCAACCTCATTAGAGAAAATAATGTCTCAAATCAAATGCCCCTAAAATAGGCAGTTAGCAAGGATTTGGGAACAACCACAAGAATTCATTTTCTTCACAAGCAAACGATGAAAGAAAACATGAAGAGACTCACCCATTGATGTAGAACGTGTAGGACAGTGAGGATTCCTGCTGAAATTTGAGGACAGCAGAGAAGAATTTGCCTACAGGAATTCTGGACAGCAAATTTAAACTTCCAACGGTGCAGGACAACAGGTTCCACTATTAAAACAACGGTTTTGGAACCTCCAAGTGCTTAGGATGCAAAGCCAATGGCTGAGAATTTCGGCTGCAGTTTTAGGGAGCAAGAGAGTTGAAGATTTGTGAGCTGTAGGAGACGTTAGTAGAGGAAAATCAGCAAGGGAAACCTGGGAGAATTTCGGCCAGCAGGGAATACGGGAAGTAAATTTTGATTCTCCAAATTAAAGGCTGAGTTTGGGAATAATTAAGAGGGGATTACATAAGGGGGAATTTAATTCCTAAGCTGTTAAGTGAAGAAACTCACGGGATTGAATTGGATTGAGGCTCTTGTTTCCTAAATTAAAACTCTAACATTAGAGAATAATTAAAATAAGGCAAGAAGGAAAATTCGGCCCAGGCAAAAGAAATAAATTGAATTATTTCCAAATGAACTTAAGAAGCATTTAGGAAATAAATCCTAAATTGCTCACATGGTGGCCGGCAGCATACATTGATCTGGGAGGTTTTAATGGGAGCAATAAAAGCTTCTCAATTTGGGTTATGTCATAAGGAAAGATTTATTTACAATCCAATTGAATTGTTAATTCAAATTAAATTAAGAATAGAAACTTTCCTAAAATAGTTTTGCTAATTTAGGAAATATTTCAAAATTCAAAATGTTTTGAATTTGAAATGAGGGATTTGTGGAGG